ATTATCTATTAGGTTATCCCTGATTTTTAAGGTCTCTTCAAAATCGTATGAATATAGCACATTGTTTTTTAACTAATAATTGATGGTTCGATTTCTGATGGTTATTTCAGATTTATTTTATTTTTCTCTCTTTATCGTTATTTATAATGAAATTAATATTATGTGTTTTTAAAATACTAAGCTATTATATTTAAAGTACTTACAAAAAAAAATCTAAAAAAAAAAACTGGAAAAACTAACAAATTCCAAACATATCCTGTATTAAACGAAGATACGATAAAAATTGTATTTTTTGTTTTTTATTTTTCTAAAATATATAATCATCCTGGATGTAGATAGTAAAAACTGCAAAACATTTTTACACTTTAGAACCTCGGTTTTAATTACACTAACCATTTCTCAATGTAATTTTTTTTGCAAATAAACAACTGCTATTTCAAATATTATTTTACTGAACATTTGTACCAAAAAAATGTGCTGAAACAAATTCATGGCATTACAGTCATACGAGCTTTCGGTTATTTATATTTTATATTGCAGTTGCTAATTACGCTCACCCTGTCCCGTCATAAATTTAAGAATTTATATATAAGCTTATGTTTCAGTCAATATGAATGTAATTTAGTAGTTGAGCTATCTTAAATATAACAGCACATAACAGTTTATGTTAGATTTAGTACAGAAAATGTAGTACTATTGTTGTTTTTCGGATTTATTAGATTTGGTTTGAATTTTGTTTTGCTTCATACACAAAAACTAAAACAATCTGAATAAATTATTTTCCGCATTTTGATAGTATTATGGACTGCATAGATTGTAAAATATTGCGCCTTAAAAGTATTTACAGCCATTTTTTTGCCAGCTCATTTTGTTAAATGAGACTTACAATAATCTTCTTTGTGATAATGCATTTTAACACTTAACTCATATCATATTCTACGATTGTTCTAGTCCGGGAAGCATCAATAAAGTTGCGCCTATGCATGGAAATATTTTTTACCCATATTAGAAGTGCAAAATGTTTCTTTTGGTTTATTTAGAAACTAATATACCTCGCTAAAAATATTCATTCATTTTAATATTTACATCAAACGTGTTAGTAATAATTAAAATTTACTATTTAAATGTTCTATGGGAAAATGATTGGATATTAAAAACTTTTTGTTACTATTATAATTATTAAAAAGTTTATAAAAACAAATTCATATAGAAAAAAATAAATAATTATCTTTATGTATGATAAAACCATATATTTTTCCAAATGTTTCCCTTCCTCTATTTTTTCATATTAAGTCGTAATTTTATTGAACTTATATATGAGTATACCTGACTATGAATTTTTATTTATTAAAAAGTTGGTTTTTTAATCTTTTTTTTTTATGTCTCTTTTCTACTAAATTGTTCATGGTGTATTATGGTATAAGATTAAACACTTAATCCTTGAAAATATAATGTATCTATATAAATGAAATAACACAACCTAACTCGAAAATATGTGTCGTAAATTTGACCATAGGGACTGAAATTGCGAAAATTGGCATTGAACGAATTTAATAAATAATTACTCAATTAATTTGAAGAATTGAAATTAGACATCAATTTTTACCTGCATGACGATTGGATGAGTAATTTTAGAAATTACTCGTGACCAAAAAAATACCATGTAAATAAAATCCATATTATACGAGTAGAACTAGACACCTAACATAATGTATACTAATATTGAATTACTATTTACTGCTATTTTTATAATTGCATGGCCTACTGTCTGTAAAGAATTTCAAGAATATGGTACATTTGCGAATTATTTTCACTTAAGGTTTATAATCAATAAATATATCATAATAAATATATATATATATATATATATATATTAATATATGATTAATATCACTTGGCATTAGTTATTTATTTTTATTCCATTATTATGTCAAAAAAATATTGCATATATTGTACTCTTTCAGAAATCAACTCAATGTTATAACAGAAATTTGAATTTTCAGTTCTAGATGAAATATTTCCAACAAAAATATTTTCCAATCGTAAACTTAATGAGCAATGGAAGGATAAAAGTAATAAAGTTAGATCACAATAGGTCACGATGGCGTGTATGGATTCGGAAAGAATGCCACTGGTGACTTTTCACGTGAACACATTTTACTTGAAACTCCGTTTCATGAGCGCGACGTCTCTATTATTATTATTATCGTACCTGTAACACTGCATTTTATTGACGACAACCATAATAATAATAATATACTGGTGAAAATCAGGACACCGATTGGAACGGTAAATTTACATGTTTATTTAGGTGGTATGGCGTTGCATGGATAATTTTTAATAAGGTCGAGTAAAAGTTTGTAATACGCCGTACGTTAGCACTCGCACATTACCCGATGCCTCCGAAATCACCGTCGACGTATGCATATCAAAATAAACAATAATTATTGGTGTAACATTATTATTATTATAATTTTATGTTATGCTTCCCCCCCAAGAAACTCGGAGCCATCGCTAAATAACGAGAACGTCAGGGGCGTCGTCACCGCTGCAACGTCTTTTTAATATTCAACGTGCACCCGGCAAGATAACTTCGACGTTAGGAATTAATAGAATTATCAACTTTGCCATACCGAGCGTTTGTGGTGGTGATGCCGTGTAGGAACTTTCTGTAGCCCGATATACGCGCGATTATAAATTCCGTCCATGTTCACGCCACACACACACATGAACATATCTTGTTGGTAAATCTCGTGTCATAAAAAAATACGATGCGATTAATGCAAGTCGAGTTTTACCACCTAGTTTCAACTTCAATCGGCAGCTATAGTAAATACAAATTTACCTCTAAGGTTTTGGCAACTACAACTAATCGTTCAGTAATATAACATGTTTTACTCTTGTAACAGTAATTTTTGAATGAATAAAGTGTATTTTTAGTTTTTGACTAACCAACATTAATTTTCCTGTTTTTTTTTTTTTTTTTAGCAGTAGAAAATTGTCGAATTTTTACGTTTGGCACGGTACGTTCTGAGATTTAGATGTTGCAATCGGATAGTAAACGGTTGATCCCCATATAGACATATCGTAACTGGTCAGAATACCCTCATCCTTTATCTTGCAGGTAGTATTTTTCGTGTGGGTTCCAGAGCAATAATAGATTCTATCGAATTTTATGACACGATCTACCGAATTTCACTTATTTTTTAAATAGTTGTATAAGGTACGGTTGGTACTCAATTCGATTTCTCAATACCCTTGATATTTATAATGTAGCTTATAGTAAGTAAGCTTAAAATGTATCATTATTTCACCTTCAAGATAGTAACCATTTATTAAAAATATGTTGAAATTTATGAATAAAATTTTAAACTTTAAGCTCAATGTTTCACTCATCGTCGAAGTAAACTGCCCTTGTTAAAGTCGCTATTTACACACATTTCTAACACATAATACATAACGGGTAAAATACACCGATTGGTTGTCATACTAAATTCATACTAAAATCTTGTTCAAATATTTTTCAAAAGGTATCAACCAACTACTATGCTTTTATTAAAATATTTATACAAAATTAACTATGATTTTACCATGAATGTATTATGACAACAAAATTGTTGTTGAGCAAATATTATGCTTTAATTTCGTTGGTACTTTTTACTCGACAAGTGTAACATCCGGTTTGGCGTTTCGGAGTGTATTTTAACATTAACCCTAGCGATAAAACATATCCATATGAATAATGTAATAAATAATATTTGATATTTAAAAGTATAAAGTACAGTATAGTTACAACTATTAATTATTATAATTCAGAATTTGGAGTACCTACAAAGTGAATGTATTAATAACATACATTTTAGTATTTAAACTCCTTTCATAAATAAAAAAAAGTTAGAAATAAATGACATTATAACTATTTTCTTTAAATATAACAACATTTCAAAAAAATGTATTTTATACTAATAATTAAATATATATATGACCGAAAGAAAAAATTTTCCTGATTAAAATAATTTTATATTTTTAAGTTATTCATTTATTTCCTGAAAAATTGCATCATATTGCAATCACGAGTTCATGAAGTTTTCCATTTATTGAACAACAGACTATTTATATTTTGAAAAAATACATACCTGTTACTATGAAAAGAGGAAAGATAAAATAAAATTATACCCTATGTATTTTGTAAAATGTGAGCCTGTCAAATTATAGCAGGTTCCGTTGTAAATATATTCGACGGTCTGTTCGTTTCGATCATAGTCGGATTTACTGATATTAGAGTTACCCCGAGAATTTTGTTGAGATTGAAAATAATAATAACGATGGTAATAAAAATAACAAAAACAGTACATAATTACAATAATTTAAGAGGTATTGGTTTTCAAGCTATAGATAAAAATATGATATATTTTATAACAAAAAAATCCTATACTCTTGTAATATATTATGAACAAATAACGTAGGTATAAATAAATCTAACCACCGAGTATGGGGCTTCACTATTATTTTTATTAATGTTTTTTTTTTCGTTTTTTAAATATTTGTACATGGACTGTGTGCAAACTAGTCCCAGAAATATTTCTTTCTATACATTAACTGAATAAATATTAAAGAAGTATTCTAACTATAGATCGTAATAAATGTATAGCTCAATTATCGTTGTTATTTAAAATTGTTATGTAAAAAATTAGAAATATATTTAATAGTTCTTAAATCGTTATCGAGGGATGTGGATAATCCACATCTTCCATGTTTTAATAAAATAAATGTATTTCTCGAACAAAACATGAAATGATGATCAGAACCGAAAATTCTCGATTTCCAAAAATGATTATTATTCCTATGAATATATTTCGATAACCAGATGATATTAATTCAGCTATTATGATAATAATTACTGTAGTTATCATATTTTTATTACACTAACACTATAACAACAATAAAATCTGTAATAACTGCTATACGTATATTAACTTGTGATTTGTTTCTGTTCACAGACAACACCGCCTCGAGGAAGTTCTTACAGGAGTTTCTTCAGGACATTCCGCCACCGATAATTGGTCCGGTATTCGATAAAACGGTGCCGAACAACGTGACCGGACTAGTCGGCAGAACGGCGTACTTGCACTGCAGAGTCAAGAACTTAGGCAATCGAACCGTAAGCGCAGCAAATAACACTCGAAGTGTTCAATAATATTTTACCAAGAATGACCGTTGTACATTTGGAAATACGTTCGGCTGGACAAAGCCCGTTTATTGAAGTGAACATGGCTTGGGTGGTGATGGTCAGGGGTGACGGTGGTGGAATGACATAAAATTATAGAATAACTATTTACTACTACAACTGCGACAACAGGTAGAAACGCCCCATTATATTTAACGTCGTATCACATGTATATAAAAGTACTACGTACATATAATATATGTATATACGATATACGATATTATCGTTTACGATAACAATAAAAATGCGTGCAACACTAAAAATTAACTATAGCTTTTCTGCACCGAAGAAATAATTAACGATACGAATAAAAAAAAATAAAAAATAATAACGTTATTTTTTCTATATATATATACTAAGGTACGCTCGTACAAAATTACTTGTTGAAACTATTTTTAGGAAATCGTGGGAGAGTGGGTAGAGCGGGACAGTAAAATGCCTCTACAAACAGCTGTAACGATTGTTCCTGAATTTATTGTGTATTTTATGTCTTTCGACATCTGGTATACTTTTTTTTTTAACTGTTAAAAGTTCAATAAAATTTCTTGAAAGCTAAATTTTATTTATTCTACAGTTTTATTAAGATGACATATACAAACGAAATGTTTTGGCGACAAAAGTCTTGATTGACGGTTTAAGTAGACAAAGTTATATAATACAGCTTTTGTCGACACGCAAAACGTTCCGTTTGTTTTCTCACTTCGATTCGATGTAAATATTGTTTTATAATTTTATATCTATACTTAACGGTTTATATTTTATTATTTTACACCTATACCTTCATATTATTATTCATATATTACATTCGATTTGTAATAATCTCACTGTACAGCGAACGTCTGCCATAAACAAGATATTACCTTTTACATTAGTGTGATTGCGGTGCATACGCTTAATGCTATATAAGTTTTAATCATGTTATAATATGCAAATATTTTTTAAAATACCACCACATCGGTGATGATTATGTTTAATTTTTATGTTTTTGCTCTAAGAAACGGCAGTTAAATTTTTTAAACTTTCAACAACTAAAAGCATTTATAAGTCTAGCAACTGGGAAACTCATGAAATATAACCTTTTCCCCTCCCACTACCCTTAGTCGTAATAGTTTAATTCAGGAACATCTGTTCCATGTTGTACATTCTTATGGTTTTGAGTAATATTTTCTTTTTGTAGCGACCAGGTGTTGCTGTTGGCTGAATTTAGTTCAGCTGACAATTATTATACTCGCAAAAATATTTTAAACCGAAAGATTAGCAACTTGATGTTATCATTATAAAGGATAACAATCGTGTTCTATTTCTTATACATAAATAACTTAATACATTTGTAATTATGATCTAGTAGTGCTTGGGAAAAGCATATTAGTCAAATTTTTGGAATATTCAGTATTCAAACATTAAAATTCAATCATAAATAAGAATAATTTTTATGTTCATTTAAAACATAGGCCAATATTTCGCATAAGCTTTAAAAAACGATGAATTATTTTACAATCGTATAATTAATTATAAATTATAATTCATAAAATTAATACACATTTTAATACTTCACATATTTTTCTTAAGTACCACTGAATTATTTCTTGAATATCAATGATAAGTTTGATAAACTTTAATTATTGATGCAATCTGAATCTACCCAATCTACATGATAACGTATTTTTTATCGCATATTAAACAGATACTATATTACTATATACTATATTATTAATTACGATAGTTAAATCAGTTTTATTTTCTATATCCATTGAAAAATGGAATACATACTCGAATGTCTACATAAATATATTGCTATGTATATATTAGATACCTTGAAATTGAATATGTAAATATGATAATATACCTATTTTGTTATATTTATCGATAAACATTTTTTTTATTTTTAAATAGGTTATCTAATGTTTTTAATCGTCGGCACTTTATTCAAAAACATTCTATTTTTATTTAAAATTAATCCTTAATTTTCTTAAAAAGCTACATTTTATTATTGGTAGTAGGTACCCCGACTGATTCTAAATATCCTTAAATGGCTCTAGTGGTACTCTTAAAGTTCTCGAGTTAATTTAACACTATAATTAGTATCCTTGGTACGAATAATAAATGTTCCAATGTGATTATTAGGTATTCGATATAATTATAATTAAGGTAGACTTGTGTTTAGTTTCAAATAGATCTAGATGATTATTTCAAATCTATATTTTTATATTTTATTAAAAAAAAAAATAATTCTATTATAAAACTGAGAGCTATTCGATTGTTTTCTTTCCAATATAAATTTCGATTGTTGCAAGCTGACAGTGAATTATTTTAAGTGAATTGTATTATATATTGTATGACAATTTGTTTATTTTATAATTACGTTTAAATTTAATGATCCTACGGAAAATCAATTTTTACTTTATCATATTTCAACTAAATTTTATTTGTATACTTCAATTTTAGGGATCACCGGGACAGTTATAATATATAGTAACATTTTATAACTTCAAATACTTGTACTGTTAGATACTCCAATGTTCCTACATATCATTATATTATAATACATACTCGTATACATCCACTTAAAAAGATACAATAATATATCGTGTACTTCAAAAAATCGAAAGCTGTTTTTTTTTTCTCACGTCATTCTTTAAACATGATTATTATTATTAAAATAAAATATTGTAAGTATTATTAAAATTTTGTTAGTGTGCTTAACTTTTTTACATTTGAAAAAGATAAAACCATTTTTAAATTGTAAAACTAATTATATTTTTTCAATTAATTTTTTTTTACTCAAAATATTCTATACATTTTAATGCATGATACAAAGGAATATTTATTTATTATATATTCTATGAATATCAATTATACATATATTTGAAACTTGAAACAATTTCAATGTACATATTTGCATATTTTACAAATATTCAATAAAATATACATTACAATGTATATTACAAAAGGGTAATTATTTGTTTTTTTATTAATTTAATATTATATTAATGAATTCATTAATATTGATGAACATATTTGTAAAATTTTAAAATTTTTAAATACTCTGATGTTTTGTTTGATTGTTATGAAAAAGTATAAAGTATAAAATAACTAACATAAAACGTTTTTAGACAATCGACCTTATGTTGTTAACTATGTAACCTGTAATTTGGTTTGTTCGATTTTAAATTTAAATGTAATTAATAATCATTAATTTTTCTTGAAAAAAATACATGCAAGAATTACACGCACTACACAGTATGCCGCCCAAGTGTCTGCGAAGTAATTGTTGATATAAACTTACTAAACCATTTCTTTTCCGTATCTTTAAAACATTACATTTTATCGTATCACTAATAAGATCTATGTACATTACTGTCACACATCATTGATCGTACGAAAGTTTTAAATTTTATGTATTATGTAAGTTAATGTTAAATATAACGTATATTTTCCATCCATACACAAAAACAGATGATTTAAATATGGCGTGACATCATTTAAAAACAGATGTTAGAAGTTCTTGGTACATCTAGTCATAGAACTTGATATAATATACTTGTCAAAGTTTATAGTTTCAAAATTCAATAAATAATTCTTTTCCTAAATTGATGTTTTTTAATTACAAAAAATAAACATTTCTTTCAATAAATATTTTTAATAAATGGTCCTTTTTTCAAGTTGCTATTTGATATTATGGTTCTAGTATTAGAAACTAATACTTGATGCCTGGGTCCTAAAACAATTTATCAATTTAATAGTGATCGCTCTTTAATTATCTTCAAAGCAGTATGTTATGGTTAATTATTTCAAATTGTAAATAATATTAGTGTGACGAATATTTTATTTGGGAAAAAAATTATTCTTATTAATCTACGTAGCAAACCTACTAAATAAATTGAAAAATGCATTACTCAATATAAATGCAAATTAAAATAAATTAAAATAATCATAGTTATGTTTGATTATAAGTATAATATCTGTATGGTTTGTTCTTGATAGGCAAAACATTTTACCTCAGGCGATTTTCAAAGTTATTTCATGGTATTCATCTGTAAATAAATTAAAGGCAAGATCTTTCTAAATAAACATTGTAATCATTTTCATGACTACAAGGAAAATTGAATCTAGATGAACTCCGATGCACGTCACCACATTTTCGTGGCTCTATTATTAAATCGTTGTCTAGTGGTTAGACAACGTACACACGGAGCCATGTAGTATTGATAAAGTGAAAAATAACTCCTGTTTGTCATGCCTATATCAGCAGCACTAGTAAATGAATTGCCTTGAACAGTAATGGGAGAATGTAGGAGGAGGTCGTTATCATTTTTCTAACAGATGATAAATAAATACTTACCTTGTGGTCCAGCGCCACATCCTGTTTCTTTAGTTAGATGTATACAAATATCAAGAGGAAACCACTTCATGCAAGGTCACTTATCGTTGTTTAAAGTACTACAAAACATAATCATGTTGGTAATATTCTCGTATAGATGCTTATATACTTATGATAATACTTATATAGTTTGCGATCCTCTTGTATTCACGACACACTCAAAGCTGCTGCTAAAACCCTGCTCGAGTATCTCAAACCATCTGTTTTCATTTACTGACTTTTCACAATTGTTTTTTTTTTTTTAAATTTCTACTGATGGGTTTTTCGTATTGCAGTATGAGGTTTCACAATATTTAAATTATTGCATATTACCATATTACATATATATAATATAATAAGATATATTATAATATATTGTAAGATTCAAGTTATTTAAGTGTTTTTCTCCTTAAAAAAATGCATCAAGTTACAATCAATAATATTAAAAATCAAAAAACATTTTGTTACTTTTAGATTTATTGAGGTACTTATTATTATATTTATTTATTTATTTATTTTTGTAAATATAAAATAAATATATTAAATCAGATTGATTTAATCTTTTTTTTTAATA